TGCAACTCAAAGTTGAGACGGAAACCCGACAGGGTGGAGCTTATGATGAATAAAACGAAGAAAATATAGCACACGTCTATACACCACTATTCACAATTACGAAGTTTATGATGACTTATAAACTTCGCTCAACTTGAAGCCGTTCTCCAGGAGTTAAAACCCAGCCAAATAGCGATGGGTGTCTCCCTCTATATACTGATTGTCCCGGGCCAACGGATTCTCTCTGCTCCAGACATTGTAGTGGAGTAGTCTGTTTCCGAATGATTCTGAGCGTCACTAGCTTACCCTATTTGCACTTGGGAGAGATAATTGCGCATACTGCGGTGAGTCACATTCCGGATGATCATAGTTCTGCATTCTTTTTAATAAAAACAATCAAATTTCAAACCACGTGTTTCCGCTGATGCAACGCTACAATACCTTGTGTGGTTTGAATAGAACATCAAAGTGATAGCGTATATAATCGTTCCCTAGAACCGGGTGAAGCTGTGTATTGCAGAAAAGAGAATTCGGGATAGAGTTGTGGATTCGATTGACGGCGTTCATCGTTTGGGATAAAATCTACTCGAGTTTTATGAGCTACTTTGTTATTATCTGAGGAACGAGCAAAAATTGTTTCTGATGAGTAGGTCTGATGGGAAAACGGAAATCTCCCCGTGAAACATCTCCATGTACGAATGAATGCGTGGGCTAACCGTTCCAGGTGTCTGTTTGGCCAGTTCATCCCAAACTGTCTTCGACCAGTTTGGTTAATTTTGAAATGGTCTCAAACCGTTCGATAAGCTCGGCGAAATGCGTCGTCAACTGATCGCATTTGAGTAGGCACTATCAACAAGTGGGCTGATCCAGCTCAGGTAACAAGCCAATTGGCTGTTCGGAAACACGTTGCTGAGTAAAACATTCAACTGTGGTTCGTTTACACTTTAGTGTATCTCAAATGGAAAAGTGTGGCGGTGGTGGCCCGGTGGTAATGTCACCAAATTATCCCCCGGAGGACGTGAGTTCGAATCCCATCACCATCACCACCACCACAGCCTGACTTCCCCATTTCGTGTTGTATGGTAGCCCTTTGATTGATCGCTTTCCCCCTGCTGAATTCGGTATAATTGTGTATTAAATAAAAGGAAGTAAAACGGACAAAGCATAATCCTAACTCAACTCCTCCCCCCCCCACACACACACCATAAATCGCTGCAAAATTGGATGTAATAGAGCTGACCACTGGTCGTAATATACAAGTCATTCTATCAATTCTTACAAGTTGAACTTAATCAACAGTACCAAAGCGGAACTTTATTCGAGATAAATGCGCCAGGGAAACCTGCAAAGAGTTCGAGTTGCCTCCCTCCGTTCCCCAGAGCCAAAAGTGGCCGCTTCAAATACCTTAAACCGTCAGGAATAGCAGAACAAAATGAAATTTTCCGTCCAATTAATAAACACTCACGGATGGATATTGCCTCGGCATAGTGACTCAATACCACAATTCATCTCATCTTTGTTTATTTACTACTCAACTTGTAAACTGCAATAGTCCAACTAGCAGCTTTTAAAATATCAAGTGAAACTTAGCTTGGATAAACAAGATCTTTCATTCCCTGTCCCGATTTTATCGATCTAATTTGATGAATTCAAAACTACGCATTGCAAGCAAAAACTTCGGAGCTTTTATTGATGTGGCATATCAAAATAATTTGAACACAACTGTTTCACATTGTACCCGGAAATATGAGCACGTTCTGAAGTGTCTGAAATTTAAAAATGTCTATTGCCAGCTCAACCATTACGTTCAATGACTGAATACCCATTCTGCAATAACCGAAATTCGAACCCTGACACGGTCAACCAACTTTGGTGGTAGTCAGCTTAGCTGTCGTCCGGTTTAATGACACTCCCAACATATCGGAGCCTTATGTGGTACGCAACTCCAAGTTCCGGGCCTTAGGTTGCCGATTCCCATTAGTAATTAGCTGGTCTTCAAGACTATGTGGTTTACCCTGCCTGCCGTTCATCAAACAAAATGTGTGTAATAAAAACATCTAATGCTACTATGCGTGGGTTGAGATTACTTTATTCTATAGAAATCTGGTATGCTTATCCATTATCCTATTTTCAGTGTTTGTCTATTTTTTAGAATTTCCGGAATTCAACCCAATGGGAACCGATAATTTCTAGTGTTCTTGTATACTACTAACACTTATGAGTAGTTTATAAAATACGACTGGTGGTTTATTTCAATGGTCAAGAATAGACAACACCACTTAGAGCAATTCAATGTGCTCTAAATAATCTCAACATTTTGTTCCATTCATTACCCTGTGTGCTGCTTCCAATTTTGATGATCTGTTTCAAATGAGCTATGTTGTTATATATATATATACCTAATTATTGATATCCTTACTGCAATCTGTAACAAACAACTATCCTCCGCGGGTTACCGCCTTCTGGATGGGTGAGACAAACTCTATGCGGTTCCATCTTCCGTAGTCGGAGAATGTGCTATTCTCGGTTAGGCAAATCACATTAGCGGATCGAAAAGTGCCTCATTGTTCACCCAAACGCCAGATTCCTTTTATCTTTCAAAACGAATTGGTATACAGGGAAATGGATTAGCTCAAATTATAGATCATTATGCACTGCTGATAAAGAAAATCTTTTTCGGGATGATTAAGGACTAAACGCCCCAGAGTTTGGGGCCCGAGTTCGAGATACCAACCGGTTGGGAGGAGGGGTTGCGGAGATCGCAAATGACTTACCCCGTTGCAATATTCCTTCCAGTCCACTGACTTTGGGAATTGATGCACTGTTGGTCGGAATTTGGTAGAGGATATTCACCGCGGAACAGTTCCATTGCTCGTGTTTGAATTGGTGCACGCATTCATGCAATCCTAACCGTGTGCCCTCGAGCATCGCCCAAACCAGCCCGGAGTGTTGTAGACATATTTGGCGTTGTTTGTTCGTCAACCCGGTCAACGCGTGACAGATTGCGACCTCTTGAGCCAGTAAGCTGCTTCTGTCTGGCAGTGCTACAACTACCGGAGTGACCGGGTTGATAGACGGAATCAACGGGGCGGTGAGATGATCATTGGACAGCGCAGTTCTATCGGACATTGGTGAGATGGGCTGATAGGGATGAGAAATTTGACTGTCCAACTGATCTTGCCCGGGAGTCTCTCGAACTGACTTTCTTCCCGGTAGGCCGCCCCGTCCATATTTATCTGGACTGTACACGTGCTCGTCCATCGCTTGAAGCACGTTTCGTTTTGCTGGTTGGTTTGTATCGGTCACATGCGGATTTCCCGGCTGTGTCAGTGATAGTAGGTCGAAAAACCTGAGGTGAAATTGGAGCACCAGTGTGGAATTGGTCAGATTATTACTGTTGATCATCACAAATAAAACATCTTCATTTGGTGAGATTATGGTCAAGCCAGTAACATACAAGGACCATAATGGTTCGCATGTGAGGTGACACAAAATAACTGCCTTCTGAGTAAATTGTTTTCTGGGTGAACAAGCATGACAAGCTAACAGGCATGGATAACAAAATAGGGTTTAAGCTGAGGATCTTGGTCGGACTGTTTCTTTCCTCCGATGAATCCAGGCCGGAACAAGCCTCCGAAAGTCTCAGTATGACTGGGGGTTAGTTTCTCGGGTTGTGGCTGGTTATTCTACCGTTACAACTCGCAAAGTGCTCCTATTCGACTAAGCGTCTCAAACACCCTCTGCTGAAGAAGGTAGACTCAGTGTGGTAGAGGTGTTTTCCAATCAAAGTGAGAGGAAGAAAATCCAATATCCGTGGCTATAACCAACCCAGCTAAGAAGGGTGCATGAACCACACTCACCCACACCTTTTTGGTTGTGGCAGTGGTTACCGGCTCAATTGAACATTAGGGTGTATTGGGCACTGTGGACCTTTTATCCCGTCCAATGGACGTATCATCCGATGAACTGCACGCCAGTTCCCCAATGGATTGCGGTTTTCACCTACGCCGCCCGGCTGTCTTGCGGGTCAGGCTTTGGCTAGCCGAAGGCTCCGGTTGTGAATATCTGAAGAAAATTCACGTGACTTGGTCCGAGCAAATTGACAGTAATCCACCTACAAGCTAATCATGAAACGTTTTTCTTTTTATAAAGATTTTTGTACCGTGATTTGTTTGGTGCACAGTCTGGCTTCAGATGTGTGAAATTTAATGTTTTAATTGGCAGGGACAGAAAGCAAATAATTAAACCAGTCGTCTGAGATTACTTCCAGCTTAAAGCGTCCATGCTCTTTTTCTGAACTAGACCAGTGTAAGTATGTATTTCTTCAGCTAGAGTTGAGCACGATTTTCGGGCAGTTCTATCGCACGTTGCTTTTGCGCCAGTTTAATGGGAAATTTCACGGATGTTGTGGTAAAAATGAGGTACATATACGTAGAAAGTGTTCTGAAGGTCCCTGTATGAATGAATGTTCCCTGGTTTGTTCATCACCGCCAGCCAGAAAACGTCTTCACGTGGTCGAGAAGGTAACACTATTTGTTGCGTCGCAAATAAATTCAGGGATTCTTTCGAGTTCGTTATTGCTATATTCTGAGACGAGTGATGGGAAGATACTACTTATATCATTTATGCTATATCCGTAGTGGCTGTCACTAATAATGACCTAGGGGAATGATTGAAATGTACTGTCCCGTGTTGTATTCATCAAATTCTCATTATATGTTCAGCATACTTTAGACCCAGGGACATATATATGTACTGAAGAAAGTGTTTGAACATAAAGGTATAAAGAGCCTATTTTTAGCCGGACAGTCGTTTCCGGCTAAAAATAGGC